ACTCACTGCATGCACACTCACACACTTATGGGAGCACTCGAGCATGCAGTTGAAAACAACCGAGCACACGTGCACACACACCAAAAACTGTCATCAAAAGAATCAGCCATAAAATGATATTTAACTCTCATTATAAGAGAAAATTAATGAATTTAGCTGGKTTATAACTGTGTTATAGTTTCATGTCTTGCTGACAGTTCTTTATCTGGTTAAAATCAAAAAGGTGAAGTTTGGTTTCTTCAGAAAAATGCGAAGTATTTCTAACTTATCGATCTTAATACAACCAGTACTTTTTTAACTGTTATATTCATTGGTATGTTTTCAGACAAATTAGCGCAGATCTTTCAGGATTTCTTTTTTTTTTTTTTTTTAGTTTTCTGTGAAATTATAGTTCTTATTTGCTACATTCTTTTAGTTTTGTGTTGAATAAGTTTTAAGAAACTGAGCCATGTTTTGTCTGAAAGCATTATTCAGGCATTTTAATGCTCCTTTGGCTTTCTCCCCTAAGTGAGTGCGCTGCAGTAAAAATGTTGAGAGATTTCTACTGAAAGATCTGTAGAACTGCTCTCTTGGCAGAAACAGTTGTTACTACAACAAAATGTAAAATGAAGTGCATACAATAAGCTTTAGTGGGAGATTAACATGCTGAAACGACACTAAAGGATCATTTTAAAAAGCTGGATCAGTTAATAATATGAAGTATTTAAGACTTTAATTGGCAGGGACCTAATATATCTTGTTTCTTTTGTTATATTTCCTATATAGTGCATAAGTAAGGTTTGATTTTTTCTTTACAAATAAAAAAGTAGCTAAAATATATCTGTGATGACGAACAGAATTGAATTGTCTAATCTGTAATGTACAGAAACTACACACACATTTCTTTTTTAGGTTTTTAAATGTTCTTTGCTTCCCTGAACACAAGAATTATAAAATGTTGAACAAATCCTACATTTATTACATTTAGCCATAATGAAAATAAAAACACACACAGTGTTTATGCAGTATCAGGATTTTTACTAAAACAAAACAAGCTGAAACTTTAGGACACCTTAAAAAAATCATCATACGTAAAACGCTTATAAATATTTTTAGATAGGTTATTGATTAAACATACTTTAAAAATCCTTATTAAGTGTTTATTATGCATTAAGGACAAGAAAGAGACAAAGCTGTCCGTTTTTTTCTGTTCATGTATATATTACATCTAAAGGTGCTATAGTAAACATTTCAGACTAGATTATTTCCTTATTAGCACAATAATGATTTGTAAACACATATTTACCTACATATAATATTGTACTGCATTACTGTATCATACATTTCCACAACTATCAAAGGAAGCCTTATTGGAAAGTGTAAAACAGTAAACTATAAGTCTCCCTTATGACATTTATACATGTTTATTAGTCATTAATAAATAGTATACGGTTTTACACTATATAGATTTGGCTCACTATTTGGCAAGAAACCAGACAGTTTTATGTCTTTCTCATCTTTAATTAATGCTTAACAAACACTTAGTCTAATTAATTATTTATAAAGTGTTTACAGACTAATTAATTACATATATAAATACTCCTTTAAAGCAGAGGTTCTCAAACTGGGGTCCCAGGACTCCCAGGTGTCTGCGAGAGGTATCTTGGGGGTCCTCAAAAAATTTCACTAAATTTTTAATGTTTTTTATTTTTAAAAATGCATGGAGAACAATGAACTAATGAAACAAACATAATAAACTTAATTAAAATATATACATTCCCCTGGCGTTTAGGGGTTGAAATGACAATAAATTATCTTTTAAAACAACRTGGGGTTTATGGGGGGGTCCCTGGAATTTTTTCACCCTTGTAAGGGGTCCCCAGACCCAAATAGCTTGAGAGCCCCTGCTTTAAAGCATCACACGTGTCTGGTTATTATGGATAATATGGTATTTATTATTAATAACATTATATTTATTTAATATGGATTATTATGGCATAAACATTATGGCAGCTTTAGGTTTCTAAAAAATATTTATTTTTCTGCACTAAAATGACAACAATTCAATTCAATTCAGTTTATTTATATAGTGCCAGGTCACAAGAGCTGTCTTAGGGCACTGTACACAAAAAATCAATAAATCTAAAGAAGCCAGCAGACTGCGCCAAACAAAAGATATGAACACTTATCTTACTTGTTCTTTGGATGTTTATCTGTCTCTTGGCCTTCAGAAAGCCATAATTATCACAAAAAGTCCTTAGTCTGCTGGCACTTGAAACAAGATTTTTGAAAAAAAAAAATCCATACGATTTACTGCTTATTATGTTAAGTCTGTATACATGCAAAATGTGGTAAAATGTATGTAATTTACGAACAATCCGTACAACTTGACATACGAGATAGCTCTGTTTACACAGATTTCTATGATTATTACAAGTGCAAAAAGGCAACAGCAACTAACTATGGCACCTGCCAGAAAACAAATAACGCAGCTTTTAATTTTACAGAAGGTGTTGCTTTTAAGCTAATAATTAACACATATTTGCAAAACGTCTTCCTTGCTGTTCCCACAGAAACAGACCGATGTCTAATCGGCTTATTTGTTGACATTACTGTAACTGCAAAGAGTTTTCTCGTAAGCCACGTGGCACGCTGGTGGAGAATTTCACATCACTTAATGAAAACAGGGAAACAGAACTGCTCTCAAAATTGGTGACATTTTTTTTCTTTCATTTGATTGAACCGATCATGTGGAGAGAAGTGCATGAGGGAACTTTAGTCATCTTGTGCTCTCGTTTCTTCATTTCATGCCTGCGCTGTCTGTTTGGTGGCAGACACAGGAAGGCTGCACTGTGTCCAGAATATTTATACATCTTGCTGTCTGTTAGAGGGCATGTAATGAATGAATGTTTTTTTAAAGCTTTTTCATTAAACAAATGTGTGTTATTTTTACATTTTTGTTCACATGAACTTGAAAACAATAAATATTTCTTCAGTTCAGCAAACATCACTGCTGAATGTGACAGTGTTATGAATAAATTGTGTGGAATTGCTACACAAACAGGCATGTATGGCAGGCAGTTCTAACACATAACCAAACCACAGCTATTGCTAATCGGTATTTTAGATAATAATATTAGCATTACTCCTAGTTAGTTATAATATGTTATAATACAGTAAGTTATAATATAAATACTGTATACTCCTAAAACATTATACTAGTTGTTATCATCGTTGTTGTTGTTAAAATTTAAACTATATTGGAGATACCTGGAAGAGCTTTTTTCTACTAAAATTAAACATGACTTTTTTTCTATTAGTAGATGGGTCACAGTTCATTTGATATAAATGCTGAGGTTGCTATGAAAAGGCCATTGGAATTATACATATTAAATTGGTAAATTTATGCCGTAAAATACAGACCCGGTGTATTTCCTCTAAAATGATCTGTGTTAAACTTTCCTTTAAGATCATAGATAACAGCATATACAACATTGCTCTGTTTGTGCCGGTGCCCTGGCACAAACAGAGCAATGTTGTATATGCTATTAAGTGCCAGGAGGACTGCGACCAGTTATACATCGGGGAAACAAAGCAGCCACTGTTCAAAAGAATGTCCCAACACAGACGAGCTACATCTAATGGCCAGAACTCTGCAGTTTTCACTCATTTACAGGCCAGCGGTCACTCTTTCAGAGATGAGGATGTTCTCATTCTTGATAGGGAGGAACGTTGGTTTGAGAGAGGAGTAAAAGAAGGCATTTTTGTGAAGAAAGACCGTCCACCATTAAACAGAGGTGGAGGCCTCCGTTTTCAGCTGTCCCCCTCCTACAGTGCTGCTATTGCCGGTATCACTCCATCCCCTGTTAACAATAAGTGTTAAGTAGGTGTCAACGATAGCCATGTGATGTATCAGTCACATGGAGGCAGGGCTTAAAAGCCTGAATTTAGCCTGAAACTCTCAGACTGAAGAAGTCTCTTGGAGGAGAGACGAAATGTTTCATTAGAGAAGAACCCGTCCAGAAGAACTATACAATTTTTTTCTTTTTGATCATAGATAAGATTTTTGCTAAAAGCCTGCTTTTTTAGATTTATTTGATATCCTTTTTATAGCCACGGCTGACATCGTATTTTGTTTATTAACATGGGTAGAAATCCCAACTAACTGCTGGATCATTTAGGTCCTGGTAGGGTAGGACCTGAAATATTTAAATATTTATAATATGCCTGTGGCTTTCTCAGCTCATCTATCTGGATAAAATGAACTGAAAGACCAAACAACACTGAAAGCAGTTATTATATTTTATTGGTAAACGCATAAAAATATGTCAATCAAAATCATATCAAAAATAAAGCTGTCACAAGTCACAAAATTATATTTTTACAAAAAAAAAAGTTAGGTGCATTTTTTTAATTATCAAACCCTTGCTTGTAAAAAGTCCCATCATGCATTGACAAATATTTCACCACATTTAGTTTTTTCTCTGCCATGAATCACATGAGACATCAGATAAACAGTTAAATTTAATAGCACTGGTTTGTTTATATCAAATAACCTCTGACTACTACCCACAATGCCTTGCAGAACACTAAGAAATGCTTTGTCCTGGTTTTTATTTGTTTTTTTATGTTGAAACGACAGTCCGTGAAGTTTTTAATAAATATCTACAGTATTTATTTATCTTAAATATATGTAATTATATTATTGCAGGTGAGTATTTTCTGTGTATAACTCGTTGAAGTGCTCGTGAGAAAAGCAGTGAGTGTCCCTTTAATTAGACCCGAGCTCTGTGGGGACTCAGTCTGTGGAATGCGT